TGGTCCAGTGGGCGAAGTTCCCCCGCGGGGGGGGGAGGAATCGAGGTTGCTGTGGGATGTAACGATTCACTAATAAATGCGATAGTTATAAAACAATCACAGTATATTTACAAGACATAGACTGTATACAAAAAGTGAAGATAGATAATATAAGGAGTAGGTGAACACTCCTGAGTATTCGGCGGTTGGTGCCGGACTGAATATAATATTGGCAAAAGGCGAGAATTCGGATACGCGTTACAATAGGTGCGAGTGAGAAGTGTACATTTTATTGGCGCGTGACAGAGAGCGATGATGTCACTTATGTCCAGTCGTCTCAACTACGCACGTTGTCGTGTCCGTGTACTAATGCGTAAATGTGTGCGTCTGTAGGTGCCACGCTACAGGGGGGGGGAGGGGCTTCGGCTGCCACCCAGCCCCCCCCCCAAAGATATTTTTCAGGAGTAATTTTTTTTAATATAAGGGAGAGTGAAGCAAAATGAAACAGCGGGGCAAAATGAAACTGTGGGGCAAAGTGAAACATAGGGCAAAATGAAACACTCAAAAAAATGACTTTGACGCAATTCAAGCCAAAAAATTTTTTCATTAAATATTTTTGTTATCTACTTTTTTTTATTCTTGGGAGAACTTTTTCGTTCTTTTGATGTTTTTATTTCGTCAGTCCGGGGGAGCTGAGTGGCAACCAATCCCCCCCCCCTCACTGACGAAATAAAAACATCAAAAGAAAAAAAAAGTACTCCCACGAATAAAAAAAAAGTACATAACAAAAATATTTAATGAAAAAAAATGTTTGCTTGAATTGCGTCGAAGTCATTTTTTTGAGTGTTTCATTTTGCCCCATGTTTCACTTTGCCCCGCTGTTTCATTTTGCGCCACTCCCCCTTATATTAGAAAAAATGACTCCTCACTTGTTTCCATTTTCAATACTTTTTTGAGGATTTAAGATATGTTTTCACTTAAGAAAATATTTGACATTGTTTTCACCTCTATCATCCTATTTAATGGAAAATCTACTTTTTGGAATCCTTACATCAACTCCACATCTTAGTACCAAACAGTGAAAATTATTATTCCACTTAGAAATTATCCAGCAATGCCTTCGATTTTTTATGATGAACAAATTACTTTTATTGTTGATATGCGATGAACGTGACCACACAAGCGATGCTCGGTTAGCTGACTAGCGATTGAGAGATTCTCGTCGCTGGTATGATGGCGACGCGGCGCTATTTTCCCCTAGGGGCCTGAATGCTTGACATCAGTGTTGACCAATGGGAGCATAATGCGTCATCCATTTTACGTACAGTCATAGCTGAACAGTTCGTAAAATGAATTTTATGAACTTTTGAATGACGTAGTGTGCTCTCATTGGTCGCGGGAATATAGGGGCGGTACCACGCTGTAAAACACGATTTTACCTCCCAAAACACGGTCTGTCAAATGGCCGTTTTCATCAGAGTGTGAAGAAAAATTATTTTCTCATCTTCTAATAGAGATAAAGCGATAAAATCGACGGAAAATTCAATTCTCAATAAATTACCATGTGTCACATCTCTCCATCCCGTTTACGGAGCGGAAAATCTCGCGATGAAAGTTAAGCGCCGACTGACCCTGGACTAATGCCCCACATTAAAAAATATTTTCTCCTCTCCTAATTGAGATGAAGGGATGAAATTGACGAAAGTCGATGGAGAATTGACTTCTCAATCGATTGCCATCTGCCACATCTCTCCATCTCGTTTACGGAGTGGAAAATCCCGCGACGAAAGTTAAGCGCTGACCGACCCTGGAATAATGCCCCTCATTAAAAATTATTTTCTCCTCTCCTAATTGAGATGGAAAGATGAAATTAACGACAATCGATCGAGAATTGAATTGTCAATCAATTGACAATGGTTTCATCTCCATAACAAAGCGGAAAACTCGTGACCGAGTCCCATCGGTGCCGGAGAAAACCTCACAGTTTTTAAGCAAGTTAAAAATTATTTTTTCATCTTCTAATTGAGATGAAGGGATTAAATTGACGAAAATCGATGGAGAATTTAATTCTCAATGGATTGTTACATCTCTCCAAATCCTGCGACGACAGTTAAGCGCCGAGCGACCCCGGAATAATGCCCCCCATTAACAATGATTTTCTCCTCTCCTAAATGAGATGGAGAAATAAAATTAATGACAATTGATCCAGAATTAAATTGTCAATCATTTGACACTGGTTTCATCTCTTCATATTAACAACAAAGCGGGAAAACTCGCGATGGAGTTAAATCGGCCCCAAAGACAACCTTACAGTTTTTAAGGAAGTTAAAAATTATTTTCTCATCTCTTAATAGAGATGAAGGAATGAAATTAACGAAAATCGATGGAGAATTTCAGTTGAATAAACTTAAAAAGGAGCTTGAGAGAGCTAGGAAAAAATATGCTTTGGCTAAGGGTCATCATTGAAGAAAACATTGCAGAGTTACCTGGGGAACAACAAGAGACAGTGCGAGCATGTTTCGTATCAGCTAAAGTAAGTAACAGAGGTCGACAGTACACTCAGCAATGGATATATGAGTGTGTGCTGATGCGTATCAAAAACAGAAATTTGTATGAGCATATCAGCTCGCGTGGTATTCTAGCTGTGCCTCATTCAGACACGTTAAACCGATATATTAAACGTATAGGCAGCTCATATGGATTCAATGATAGTACATTTTAATAATTGGCCGTCAAAGTTGAGCAAATGGCTCCAGCTGAAAGGAAAGGTGAGGTCACTGTTTCTGTTCGGTTTGTCACCGAAATTGTTTCATACACTCACATACACGTATGCATTCACACTACCCTCGCTCGCATGTACGCATGGCCTACGCACACCTGATCTGCTCGCTCACCTCAGATGACCATTGGCTTTTCACCTCTGACACCTGATGCGAAACTTGATGGACAGGTATCGTGTGAACGCCTCCATTTAAATTGGGGCACGGTAGGACCTTCGATGATTGATATCTGCCACCTTACGATCTTTTAATCGCTCTTATTTGCATAGTACTTTTCGCGCGGTTTACACGTGCTTTCGTTTTCGCTTAGCTATTAATTGACCTTCGCTTATTTTATTGCTCATCTATTTTCTGTTATTCTCTGAAACATTGTGTTAACTCAATTGAACTGCTCGGTCACAATAATTGTGACGCATTGAAGTGGCATTAGTGAATAAATTGACTTGTGTTTGACCGCCTCGACGCTTGATGATTTCTCGACCCGCCCATCAGTCCTGAGAATCCATTCATATCTTGCCCATCTCTCCACTAAACCCCATAAATCAGATCCTGCCTCGAACATTTTGGTCCTTTGAGCCGGATAAGTGGAATATTTCTTTCAATAAATTCATTTTTTCGACCGTTATAGTAATAATTTCTGCGACAGTTTTGGGCCATAGTCGGTCAGATGCGGGACCGCGGTCTCAATGATACTAGCAAGCGGACATTGTGCCCATAGGTTAGGGCGCACAATGTAGTGTACCTGCTATGCAATTAGGATTTGGCTTTCTTTTTTCCTTTAGCGTTATGAATTAAGATTAAATATATGAAGCATCCGCAGAGGAGTGCCTTGAGCACTTGAAACGTTGTGCAATTTGTCAATATAATGGAGTTGTTTTGATTATTTTCTATTATTTTTACCGAGATCTGACCGACTATGGCCCAAGTCCGTCGCAGAGAATATTTTTTTGTTTTTCGCCCTTTTTCGAGTGATTTTCCGGGAGTGAAGTGGACATAGTTTTTGGACATTTCTTGCGCTAGAAATAAGGTAGCTTTCTTGGAATGAGAGCTTAATAGCTCATGGGTCGACTCCGTGTTGCTCGTCTCACACCTGGCCGCGCGTTCCTCAACCCTGGAGTTGATTACGCCAGACCCGTATTGCTCCGCTCATTGAAAAAACGTAGTCATAAATCATACAAAGGATGGCTCGCAATCTTCGTTTGTATGGCTACGTCCGCGGTTTACCTCGAAGTCGTATCAGACTATTTAGCTGAAGGCTTCATCGCTGCGTATCGTCGTTTCGTTGCCCGGTGCGGACTCTGTAGGACTCTGTTTTCCGACCGTGGTACGAACTTCCTCGAAGCCGATAAATAATTGAAGAAGCTCTTCTCAATGGCGTCCAAGGAATCTGACCAGCTCACTCATCTCTTGCTTAATGATGGAACAAAGTGATCTTTCAACCCTCCAGATGCTCCGCACTTCGGAGGTAAATGGGGAGCTGCGGTGAAGTCAGTGAAGTTCCATCTCAACAGAACGATCGGGGATGCTCTGCTCATTTTGAGGAACTCACTACTCTACTCGTGCAAATCGAAGCCATGCTAAACTCAAGACTACTTGAACCTCTCTCCGAAGATCCTGACGACGTGAGTGCGCTTGAGGAGATCAAAGGCGTGGATAAATAAACAATTCACCTCCCAGTGAAAAATAACAAAGATTAGGTCTAATATTAAATATTCTCATAAAAAAAAACTGGTCTTGAAACTGATTACGGTGTAGAAGATATCAGGGCAAAACTGATCCGGTCAAAACGATCGCGACGTCCAGATCTTGTGCGGATCTCAGGAGCCTGAGAGGCAGAAACCTTAGGAGTAACCTCTGAAGTTGACTCTGGAGCTTGCACAGTAGCACCCGGAGTAGAACCAGCCAGACCAGGCTAATAACGTGGCTTCAAACGGTCAATAGAGACCGACACCTCCTTGCCCTTTACCCGTAGCACGAAATGCTTGTCATGGCGCGACACCACAGAAAATGGTCCCTCGTAAGGTGGCTCGAGAGACTTCCTCATAGTGTCACGGCGAACAAAAACATGCGAGCATGTCACTAACTTCCTGGAACAGAAAACAGAACGGGTCCCATGGCGAGACATAGGTTTAGGCGCGAGATCCGCGAAAAACTGTCTCAACTCAGTCACTGCAGTCCGTGGATCAGCCGAATACCTCGTTGAAGAATAAAGAAACTCCTCTGGTAAACGAATTGTCTTACCAAACACCAGTTCCGAAGGAGTTGCACCAACATCCTCCTTCCATGCCACAGGAAATTCCATCAAAATCACCGGAAGTATGTCCACCCAAGCAGCTGAAGCATGACACATGATCGCTGCTTTAAGCTGGTGATGAATGCGCTCGACAAGCCCATTAGGTTCAGGATTATAGGCTGTTGTCTTCAGATGATCGGAGCCGCATACACGAGCCAAGGAGTTGAAGAGGTCCGACTCGAACTGACGCCCACGATCCGAGGTGAGACGTAAAGGCAGACCTGGCAAACCAGCCAGCAAAAAGAGTCCTAGCCACAGTATCAGCTGTGATGTCCTTGATTGGGAAAACTTCTGGATACCTAATAAATGTGTCGACAACTGTCAAACAATAAGTCAACTCCCTCAACATAGGCAATGGCCCCACGAGATCGACGTGAATATGATCAAAACGACCCTAAGGAGACTGAAACGTCCCAACAGGAGTCGATACGTCTTAAAACCTTAGATTTCTGATAGGCTAGACAAGCATGGGCCCACTCCCTGCAATTTTTTGAGACTGAAGGCCAACCAAATCATGCCGAGATTAACTTTACAGAGGCATGAACACTAGGATGAGCAAGGCAATGTAATGACTGGAAGACACGCTGACGCAAGGCTGCAGGCACGAAAGGTCAAACTGCTCCTGATGACACATCACAAATTAGGGAAGAATCATGGTCAGGAAAATTATATGGCTTGAACTGCAGAGAAAGCGTGGGGCCCTTTCAGCAATTGAGTCAACTCATCACCATACCAACAATTTCAGCCGTCAAAACCGCCCGAGAAATTTCTTCCATCCTGGACAACGCATTAGCTACCACATATTTTGGACCAGCCACATGTCTAACTTCCATGGTAAACTGGCCGATGAAATCCAATCTCTTGAATTACCAGGGAGTCGCTCTATCCAACTTCTGCTGGAAACCATGAACAAAAGGTTTATGATCAGTATAAATTACAACATGATGACCCTCAAATACACGGAGGAAATGCCGAACAGTCTCATAAACAGCATAAAGTTCCCGGTCAAAATGTGCATAACTTCTTCTTACCGGTCGCCAGTTTCTTACTGAAGAACCCTAGAGGCTGCCACCTCCCCTGAACTGACTGCTGCAAAACCGCCCCATTGCGCCGTAATGTCTGGATGAGCCAAAAGAGGTGTCTGTGCAATGCTCTCCCTACATCTCTCAAAAGCCGTAATTAGATCAGGAGTCCAACTAATGGGAGCGAACCACGAACCTTGGGACTCTGTGCGCAATCATTCAAAGGTGTCTGATAATTGGATGCGTTGCGAGTAAACCGAAGATAAAAATTCAACATCCCCAAAAATCTACGGAGATGTTTGATAGTTCGAGACCTGGCGAATTCTCTAATACTCTGCCCTTTCCGCAGCAATGGCGTGATACCCGCAGGATTGACCAAATATCCCAAAAATATAACTTCAGCCTTCCCAAAATGGGACTTGGAGATATTAATCCCCAGGCCGTACTCAGCCAACCTCCCAAAGACCAACCTAAGATCGCGTAAATGTTCCGCCTCATCCTTGGATGCAATCAGGAGGTCATCAATATGAGAGAGAATGAAGTCAAAGTCCCGTGTGAGTTCATCCATAAAACGTTGAAACATTTGAGCAGCATTTCTCAATCCAAACGTCATGAATGGGAACTCAAAAAGACCAAAAGGAGTAATAATTGCATTCTTCGGGATATCAGAGGGCTCAACAGGGATTTGGTTGAAAGCTCGAACAAGATCTATGGTCGAAAAGATCGTTTGCGACAAAGTCGCAAATCCCCAGTCTTCTTGGGAGGCAAGTGTAATGGAGAAGACCAAGGACTACTAGAACGTTGACGTAGACCAAGTTTCAACATCTTGTCCAACTTTCCCTTAGCTAACACCAATTTATCAGGAAGCAACCGTCAAACTTTGGAAGATACTGGTGGTCCAGCTGTCGTGACGATACAGTGAACTGTGCTATGCTTGCAATGTTCCAACATTCTCTCAGGCTTTGTGATCTAAGGAAACTCTGAAACAACTCGAAGGAACGGAGAATCACCAACAACAGCCTTATCGGAGACAATATCGTCACCACGTCGCTCACACGCAGCAGTACAACCTGTCGTAGAATCAAGCAATAGTTTACTTTTTAAATCCGATAACAAACCAAAATGCCTCAGAAAATCAGCACCGATTATAGGTAAAGAGACGTCTGCGACTACAAATCGCCAGGTGAAATCTCGTTGAAGCCCAAAATTAAGCGACAAAAACACCCAACCAAACATAGAAATATGAAACCCATTGGCAGCGAAAAGAGAATAGTCATATCTCTGACTTGTACCTTTAATACATTTTCTTGGAAAAACACACAGATCTTACCTAGTATCAACTAAAAAACTAATCTGAGATATTCCATCTTTAATAAAGAGACGGTTTGTTAATGGTGAGGGGTCATTAACTGCCGCTAACGCCGCTGCTAAGAGTTTTCCTGAGTCTTGAGAACGTCATCTGAAATTGTAAGATCATGCTGACGCAAACGACGAAGAACCTGCGAAGGGCGCCTATCACCCAACTCCTCTCCAGCCACCAACTGATGTAGTCGTACCTGACGAGACTGCGATATTCTTGAAACCAGAGCAGCGCGAATTGTAGAATATGGATTTTCAGCCGAAGGACTTATAATTAAATCAGATAATTCAGCTGAATACTTGTCTTCCAAGTCACCAACCACCCACCGAAATTTGGTTACCTCAGTGGTGATTCTGCATAAAGCAAACCGCGCCTCCAATTGGTGAAACCAAAGCTCAAGCTGCTCAGGCCAAAACGTGGGGTTGCGAGCCGTTATACGACCTAAAGCGGCCTTCAGATGCTCCCCTTCAACCTCCTGATGCTGATGCTGTAGCTGCTGTTGTTGTAGTTGCTTTTGCAAAAACTGTTGCCGCTGCAACAGCTGCTGAATTTGCTCCTCCGGTTGCACTTCTACATCAACCCACGGTAGGTCATCCATCTCTCGATAATAATCACAACACTCGTATCAGTTCACAATAAAAAAAACCGGAACTGTCTTGAAATAAAAATTAAAGAATCACTCCAGTGCGGCACCATATCCAACAGGTGCCCTGCAATGCACCGGGTTAGAACTGACCCGAGGTGAAACAAAAATAAAATAACAAAAAACAATGGCGGCCCACGTGGACTAACAATACCGGTAAATTGAATTTGAAATATGACGTCACACACACGAGACACAACGCTGCAGGGATTCACACGAAAGCGCTAACAGCTCCGCTAACGAAAAACCCACCGAAATTTTACCACGCGACGCTACGGGGTTCAAGCGCCTCAGAAAGCAATGGACGTCCCGATGCTATCGGCGAAAAGAACAATGCCCAAAAATGCACCGAAATACGCCAAAAATGCAGTCTCAGTTTACTCGAAAAATGCCGGAAATACTTTCGGAGACATCTAAAATCCCCGGGATGATCACGGCCCTTTAACACGCCAATCAACGTAAAGTAATGAAGACGCCATAAAACCACGCGGCCCGAGTAATTCCCGGAATTTCGAGAAAATATTTGGACACTTCCCAGAGTACTAAAACGCCTAATTAATCCACACAAAACTTAACGATCGGGGTCACTAAATGGGTCACTAAATGGAGTTCAAAGGCGTGGATAAATAAACAATTATCAGCATCATAAATTAGATAATAGATTTATTCAAACGAAACGCGTGCTGGGAGCACGAGCACTTTACACTGTGAATAATACGTGAATAAAGAATCTGCCGCTTAGCAACCGGCAGGTGAGCGATGAGTGACTCCTCTCAAAACTTACGGCATTTGCCGAATATTCGTGCGAGACCTATTCATGAGTAAATGCCCATGAACAGGCTCGCGCACCAAACCCGTGAGTGATCACACGCTCACTCCAGGACATTTCCTGATTGGTCAGTCGTTGACAGCATCATCTGAACCTTCTCTGGACCATATGAACGTCGCTCGACTCTCCCACTGGCAGCTCATCCGACAGAAGGTCCAGTGCTTCTGGAAGCAGTGGTCCACCAGTCAAGATCGGTTCTATTATCCATCTCACCAAGGAGAGGTTCCAACCAACGAAGTGGTCTCTCGCTCGAGTCATCGCTCTCCATCCTGGTAGAGATGGACTTACCAGAGTGGTGACCATCAAGATGTTCAGCTCAACTCTACAGCTGCTATCTCGACTGCCCGTCTCGACCAGCTATACTGAGGACCATCTCATTTGAAGTCGGCTCTACTCCATTAGGCTCATCGCTAGTCCGTATTCGGATCGGGTCATGACGAGGATTTACGACCCTCGCCCTGGTAACTGGCTCGGATTGGACGTGAGGGTACCGAAGCCGGACAGAATTTAGGACTCCAACGATTCTGGCAGTACTCACAGTGGGCCAGCGCTGATGAACTACAGTGGTGACGTTGCTGATCGAGAAATTATTGCCCTGAGCTCGATTAATCCCTTTTTTGTTACAGACCAGCTGATTAGTGTCAACGATTGCTGAGGGGGGGGGGGGAATGGTCGGTTTTTCACCGAATTCGTTCCCCACACACATACTCACATACACGCATGCACTCACACTAGCCTCGCTCGCATGCACGCATGGCCTACACACAGCCGATCTGCTCTCTCACCTCAGATGGCCATTGGCTTTTCACCTCTGACACCTGAGGTGTCATTTCTTGGACAGTGTCGTGTGAACTCCCCTATTTAAATTAGGGTACATTCGGACCTTCGATGATTGACATCTGCCACCTTGTGGTCCCTTAATCGCTCTCATTTGCATAGTGCTCTTCGCGCAGTTTCGCTGTCGCTTTCGCTTAACTATTAATCGACTTTCGCTTATTTTATTGCTCATCTCTTCTCTTTTATTCTCTCAAATATTGTGTCAACTTAATTGATCAGCTCAGTGATAATAGTTGTGACGGATTGAAGTGACATTAGTGAATAAATTGACTTGTGTTTGACCGACTCGAGGCGTGGTGATTTCTCGACACGCCCATCACTCCTGAGAATCCATTCATATCTTGCCCTCCTCTCCACTAAACTCCCTAAACCAGATCCTGCTTCGAACAGTTTCATTTAAAAGTTAGAAAAACAAAGTTGGACTCTGATAATACTGAATGACAATGATAATTCTCATCAATCTCACTTAATGATTTATGTAATGTAACTCTTTTCTCGGATGAGATGAAACTAGCCGAAGCAATGAAATCCGACAGAAAGTCATTTCAGTACCAGGGTTTTGTGGATTTGGGCGATAACACTCCGGAGCATCAAGAACGCGGCTTAGGGGATCATGCTCTTGTGTTGATGTACCAACCTTTCCGAAGACAATGGGTGCAAACTTTAACATGTTGTTTAAGCAAAGGTCGCGCCAACTGTCAGGTCTTACATTGCCTCGTTCTGGAGTGCATTATTCCGTTTTGTTCGGTTTTCCACCGAATTGTTTTCCGCACACACACACACTCACGCACACTCGCTCCTCTCGCATGCTTGCATGGCTTCTCAGGACTGACCTGCGCAACCGACTGAACTGACCAGTGGCCTCTCACCTCTGACACCTGAGGCGCCACTTGATGGACAAGTGTCCAGCGAACGCCCCCATTTAAATTAGGGCACGTGTGGACCCTCGATGATTGACATCTGCCGCCTCGTGGCCTATTAATCTCTCTCATTTGCATAACGGCCGTTGACTAGTGCACGCGCTTTTTTGCTACTCTCTATTACTTAACGCTTTAGTAGTTGCTCTGCGTACCATCTAATTGTCCATCGCTTCTAAATTGTTAAAATGATCCGCGCATAACTATTGTTCTACTCATTATGTTAATAGTGAAAATAATTGACTTTTTCATAATTAAACTGACTGTTGTGACCAACGTGCACGTGTTGTGTTTTCTGGACCTTCTCGCGCTCCCGTAGAAATCCATCGTTTTTTTGCCCGTCGCTCAAAAATATTTCCCAAACCAGATCCGACCTCAAACATTTTGGTCCTTCGAGCCGGATAGGTGGAATATTTTTCGATTTTTTGTGTATTTTTTCGCGGCATCCGTATTTTTCGCGGGAGTACGGGGACGCCAGTGCAGTGCCGTAACACCTGATCGGAGGGCCCCGCACCAGTGGTCCTACTTGCCAGGGACGTGTCGATCCCGTTCATTGCTCCACCCCTGGGTACTCCGTCTTCAGGGCCGTATCTCCAGTACTGAAGGACCGTTTCAGAATTTTCGCTCATCAGGACCGTATCAGCGTGACTCCAGGCCTACTCCAGGAATTATTGACCACCTTTGGGTATCTTGGACCATCGGAAAGCCCTAACGACCTACCTCAGGGTATTACGGACCTGCGCTGAAGGAGGTGGATTATCGTGCAGCTCGCTCAAAAAGGGAAGTACAATTTTTTACAATTTTTTGCGCTTCTCTGGGGTTTTGCTGATTTTTCCTCAAGTTCGGCTGCATGTGATTTCTTTTTTCTCGATTTAACGCTTTTTGGATCTGCACTGGAGTTTTGGGCTACGCTTTGTTTTTCGCATATTACTTTTTCTTGCTTTTTGACCTGCGTCCTTGGCTCTTTGTTTATTTTTGAACATCTCTCCTGGCACGTTCGCTTATTGTTTCTTTTTCAGTTTTTCGCAGCAGTCGATCGAGGTTGTGGTTTTTCTTGTTGGTTTTCTTTCTCTTTTTGTTAACAATTCCATAAGATGGCAACTCTCGAAGCGCTGATCTCGCTGCAGATGACACGTGCATCCTTCATCGAAGGCATTTACACGGAGTCACAGGAGGAGAGCATCCAGCAGTTCAGAGTGACGACTCTGGATTCCAAGCTCGTCATGCTGGAAACGTATTGGGCGAAGCTGGAAGCGTCTTATGAGAAACTCGTCGGCCAGAAGATGGAGAATTTGACCTCTCTCGATTATTTTAAGAATCAGGTCTTCGATGTCGCGCTTAAGCATTACGCTTCAGGTAGAGTAGCGCTGCTGCAGCTGTTGGAGAAGAAGGGGGCTCCTAACCTCAACCAATCGGTTCGAGTTCCTGGCGACGCGCAACTACAGAGTTCAACGCGCAGAGCTCTTCCGGAGATTGAGTTGCCGAAGTTCTCTGGAGTGTATAAGGAGTGGAGGCCATGGAGAGACCTTTTCCATTCGCTGGTCGGGAATAATCTGGAGATTCCTGGAGTCGAGNTGGAGTGGAGGCCATAGAGAGACCTTTTCCATTCGCTGGTCGACAATCATCTGGAGATTCCTGAGGTCGAGCGAATGCACTACCTCCGTCTCTGTCTCTCTAATGAACCGTTGAAGCTCATCTCTAATTTGCCCGTCTCTGAAGATTCCTTCGGCATCGCATGGAGAATCTTGGTCGATCGATACGAGAACAAGCGCTTATTGATTACAGCTCACCTTGACCAGCTTCTCAATCCTGCTCCNGAGTTCAACGCGCAGAGCTCTTCCGGAGATTGAGTTGCCGAAGTTCTCTGGAGTGCATATGGAGTGGAGGCCATAGAGAGACCTTTTCCATTCGCTGGTCGACAATCATCTGGAGATTCCTGAGGTCGAGCGAATGCACTACCTCCGTCTCTGTCTCTCTAATGAACCGTTGAAGCTCATCTCTAATTTGCCCGTCTCTGAAGATTCCTTCGGCATCGCATGGAGAATCTAGGTTGATCGATACGAGAACAAGCGCTTATTGATTACAGCTCACCCTGACCAGCTTCTCAATCCTGCACCGATGAAGACGCACGGTGCCTCAGACCTTAATTTATTGACGAGCTCCGTTTCTGAGGCACTCAGCGCGCTCAAAGCACTGGATCCGCCAACAGATCATTGGGGTCCAATCGTCGTCCACGTGCTTACTCGTCGCTTGTCCAACAAGCTTCGTGAGGCATGGGAAAATAAAATTGGAGCATCGACTGAGTATCTGACGCTTGAACATCTCCTCGATTTCCTACAANCGATGAAGACGCACGGTGCCTCAGACCTTAA